CCCATATCCCTCTTTGTGGGCTGGAGCAATAGCACAGCAGGTAGGGCATTTGCCTTGCATACAGCCGACCTGAGTTCAATTCCTCCGTCCCTCTTAGAGAGCCCGGCAAGCTACCAAGAGTATCCCACCTACACGGGAGAGACTGGCGAGCTCCCCTTGGCATATTCTATATGCCAAAAACAGTAACAAGTCTGACAATGGAGATGTTACTGGTGCCTGATCGAGCAAATCAATGAACAACAGGAGGACAGTGTTACAGTGAAGTGCATCCCTCTTTCCAACCCCCTCAATCCCCAGCCTGCCTCTATAGCAGACACTTTTCTTCTTTGTCTCTCTCTGTACTTTTAGACATTATGGTTTGCAATACAGATACAGAGAGGACATTTACCAACTTTTAGCACACATCTCCCATCCAGAACAATCCCTTCAAAACATCATTGTCATAATAGTCCCTTCTCTATCCCAATTGCCCTCTCCCCCAGCCCTTGAAGCAGGACTAATTCCTTTTTCACACTTGCAATTCCACTTTTAATAAATTGTCAGTAATCCTTCACCACTATCACAAGTTTTCTTCTACCCTCCCCTCATTGTAGCATCAGTTTGCTGTTTTGATGGGCATGGTTTATTTACATGGGACTATCTAATCCACTGTTTTGTTTACATTACATATCAAACAAAATAATCCAGTATTTGTCTTTTTCCTTCTCTCTCAGTTCACTTAGCACAATACTCTACAGTTCTATATACATAGGAGCAAACTGCAGGATTTCATTTCTTTCCAATCACTTTTATAGAAAAGCACTCATAACGCCCGCCTGTCCTTCGACAACTATAAGACCAAGATGACTGCCCTGCGATGTCCTGCTAGATCTATCACATCTTCCAGAAGGGCAATGGAGAAGATAATGCATGACTTCTACTCAGATTTTTTGATAGCCACGTCCACCTGCCCACACACCAAATTCCGCAGGATGGATATGTCGTTCCCAACGTTCTCCCTTCCGAAATCTGACATGCCATTTAGTCTGTAAAGAAACAAACAGCACCTGGCCCAGATAAGGTCAGACCTGAACACCTGAAGAACCTGCCGTCAGTACTCATCAATTTGCTGGCTTGGCTCTTCACACGCTACCTGTCTGAATGCAAGGTTCCATCCCAATGGAAAACCAGCAGGACTGTATTACTGTACAAGAAGGGAAACATCAACAACATTGGCAACTATTGCTGATCTGCCTATTGTCTGTCATCTACAAGCTGCTCACTCAAGTCATCCTGAATACGGATTGGCAGAATACTAGATGAAGGACAACCATGCAAGCAAGCCGGTTTTCGAAAAGGATTCAGCATGATTGACCATATCCACACGATAACCAAGTTCATTGAAGTTTCTCGGGAGTTCAAGATGGCGCTCTGTCTAATGTTAATTGATTTAAAGAAGGCTTCTGTTGAGACATAAGCAACCATTGAGGCTCTAGCCAATCAGGGTATTTAAACTTAATACATCAGGATCCTCCTTGAGCTGTATTATGGATTCACTACCAGGATCTCACCATTCTACAAAGAAGTGATCATCCATGTCAAGAGAGGGGATCGGCAAGGTGATACCATTTCACCAAAACTCTTCAGTGCCACCCTCGAGAACGTCATGAGATGACTGGAATGGGAAGGAATTGGAGTGAAGATAGATGGTCGGCAAATACACCACCTCCGCTATGCTGATGACATTGTTCTAATAACACCAAACATTAGCCAAGCAGCACAAATGCTGGCTGACTTCGACCGTGAGTGTGGAAAGGTTGAACTAGAGCTGAATCTCACGAAGACAAAGTTTATGAGAAATGGTCTCGTTCCTGACGTTCCATTCACTCTCAATGGGATGAACATCTCCGAATGCAACAGTTATGTGTACCTATCTCGAGAAGTCTACACGAAAAATGACCTGGCACCTGAGTTGCGCAGGAGACGACCTCTGGACTAGAGCTGTTACCAACTGGATTCCACGGGACATCAAAAGACCGAGTGGCCGCCCACCTAACAGATGGTCAGACTTCTACATCAAGACCCTGAACGATCGGTTTGAGGCTCTTCGTGTTCCTAGAACAAACAGACGGCATTGGGCTACACTAGCACACAACAGGGACAAATTGTGACATTACTGGCACCCGCTCGAGCAAATCAATGATTAACGGGAAGTCAAGTGATCAAGAAGTGATCATTTTTATTTTTTATTTTTATTTTTATTTTTTTATTTTTATTAGTGAGACACCATGAGGTACAGTTGTAGACTTACAAATTTTTGTGCTTGGGTTTCAATTATACAATGATCAAATACCCATTTCTCCACCAGTGCCCATTTCCCACCACCACGGATCCCAGTATCCCTCCCCCCAACCCCCCCATCCCACCCTGCCTCTATGGCAGGGCATTCCCTTTTTTTCTCTCTCTCCTTTTGGGTGTTGTGGTTTGCAAAAGAGGCATTGAATGGCAATCATGTTTGGTCTATAGTCTACTTTCAGCATGCTTCTCCTATCCTGGGAGGATCCTCCCAACACCCTTTATTTGGTGCTCCCTTCTCTATCTGAGCTCCCTTTTCCCTAGCATGTGTGGCTGGCCTCCAAGTCATGGAGCAAAATTCCTGGTACTAATCTCGGCCACTACTTTCCATGTAGTACCACTTGTATATAAATTTCATGACTTCATCTTTTATAACTGCTACATAGTACTCCATTGTATAAATGTACCAAAATTTCTTTAACCAGTCATCTGTTCTCAGGCACTCAGGTTTTTTTCCAGATTCTGGCTATTGTAAAGAGTGTTGCAATGAACAAACAAGTGCAGATGAAGAAGTGATCACTTTTATAGCTGAGTAGTATCCCATTGTGTATATCTAACAAAATTTATTTATCCGCTTATATGTATTTGGACACTGGAGTTTTCTTTAGATATTTATGATTGTCAATAGTAATATAATGAAATAGAACTGTGCATATGTCCTTGGGGAATAATGTACTAGTGTTCTTAGGGTCAATGACTAGGAGGGTAATTTTTTCCTGGTCATAGGAAAGTTATATCCTGACTTTTCCTTTTTTGGGGGGAGGAGGCAAGTTGGGCCACACCAGGCTGTGCTTAGGGCTTGCGCTGGCTCTCTGCTCAGTGATAACTCTTGGAGATGCCCAAGGGTCCATGTGAAGTGCTGGGATTGAAGGCAGGTCAGCCATGTGCAAGGCAAGCACCTTACCCACCATACTATCTTCCCGGTTCCTATTCTGAGTTTTGTGACCATCGACCTTATTTGTCATAGAGGTTGAACCAGACAATAGTCCCAGTAACAGTGAGACTCTTCACTTTTCATCCTTCTATGTAGCAGAGGGCAGGAGGCCAGTATAGCTGAAGATACATTCTCCTATTTTTAATTTCCAGATGCCTAAAGACATGTAGGTGGCTTAGATCTAGAACCTGGCTGGGTCAGCAATGGCAAAGTTTGTGGCTTCTCCTTCTCATCAAAGATAATCTCACATCCTTCTCAGACTCTTGCCTCGTTCTCTCTTAAATTACTCCCCAAAATAAGAATTAAACTACTTCCTCATTATTTCTGTAATCTCCTCCTGAGTCCTTTCCAAGTAACTCTGGTAGCCTTCTGTCTCCCAATACTGAAACCTGATTGTAACCCATCCCTAGTTTCAAACTTTAGAGCAAGCAAAGAAACCTAAACAGCCAGAGGACACACAATATTTTATTATTCTGCTTAGGGTCTCATATAAACTGCTCTCCACCTCCCCCTCTCATCATAAGTGCCCTGCCCATACAACTTTTTACTTCCTTGTTCCACGCACCCACAGATTGTATATATTCATGAGATAATGTATGAGTGTACATATGAATATATATATACTTATGTCTACATATATACTGGCTATACAATATTAAAATATTTATATGCAAAAATATAACAGATTAAAAAATTATAAAATCTTCTAGAAGTCACCACTCTAGTTTTCAGCCTAAATGACACTAAATCACCTTGAATTTCCATATGAATCAAGATGACAACTGAGTGGGATAGATCAGATTTGATATTCTGACTGAAATGTTACTAAACTTTTTTATCTAGCCGGTTAGCTTCCTGAGCCAGGAGTCAGGTCTTTGCTTGAAGAAAGGAAGAAAACTTTATATCAACTTGCTATCAAGAAGAGGATAAGCAAGAAAGGAGATGAAGACACAAAAATTTGTTTTCTTGTCATCATAACTGCATTTGTTTCTACACTTTGAGAGTCTGTCTGTTTACTTTCCAAAGATGGCAACGCATGGCAAAAAGCTTTATGGGACCTCAGGGAGTGGCAGATAAAGTATGGAATCCCAGTAAGTCAAGGGACTAGTTCGTCAGTTTGTCTTCAGATTTGAGAAAGAAAGGGTCCCCACTCTGAGATCACAAACTATCTCAAATTGTCATGTCAGCTCCCAGAGACCCATTAGCGCCCACTCATTAAATAAGCCTAGAATATTTACAAAAATGCAACAGTTTGTGGGGACCAACGTGTGGTCTGAACCCCATCCCCATCTTCTCCAGGCCAACTCTTCTGTAAAAGGCAGCTCAACCCCAATGTTGGGCTTAAAGGTGTGATCAGAATCTTCTGTCCAGTTGCAAAGGAACCACAGCACTAAAACATGATGTTTTGGCTTCCTGGTATGACAAAAGCTGGAAGTACAGTGTTATCTCCCTCTCTTTTCTCTGCATGTGGGAAAACCCTCAAAACTTCAAGTGTTTAGCAGCAGCAGCATTCCTGATCTGGAAATCCACCCCCATCTCACAGGAGGGTGAACAAAGTTTTGGGGGTGAGGTGGGGAGATACAGCTGAAGTGGCGAGGATATACTGAAATTCTCTTCCCCATTTTATGGCAAAGGATCCATAGGAAATAAGGTGGACAGGCAGCGGGGATCGTGTAGGTCTGACTCTGTTCCTAGTCCTCTCTTATATGCTAAAAGCTAGGAAGCCAAAATGCCTGGGACCAAGCTAAGGCTCACAGATTTGTCTCAGGGTCAGCAGCCTGAAGGGTGGGGAATGAGTCCCGGATCTTTGCCACTTCCATGGCACACAGGTGCCCAAAGTCTTTGTTGTACCAGTCAGGAGAAAGGCCTCTGGAGAAATACAAGCAGGCAAATATGAACAGTGCATTATTCCCTGAGCCTTTGTCAGGGTGTAGGGGAGAAATAAAGGATTTTCTCAGGGATTGAGGGCAGAGGTGCAGAGGAGGGAAAAACTAAGGGGACCTGGTACCTGAGGTCAGCACGGCAGATGTGAGTGAATCTGGAGTGACCAAGGCCACAAGGCTCCATGAGGTAATGGGAAATAAGCATCAGGGCCCGTACCTCTGTCTCTGGCACAGGTTGATCAGGATCCAGGGACTGGAAAACCAGCAGACAACCCCCACGAGGCAGGTCAGCACACCACATTCTGTGAGGAGGGGGCACACATTGAGGTTCCTATTACTCATGTCAACCCTATCCCTGCAGTTCCCCAAGCATATTAAAGTTGCTCACTGGAGCACCATAAAGTCACGGCAGGGATGGGGTGCCATGATATCAGTGACATAGTGGTACAATTCCACACCTGGTATCAAGGCTTCCAGCACCTGAGTCCACAGCAGGTACTCATCCCAGAGGACCCACTCCCCTAGGACACGGTGTAGTACCACAGTTGGGGGGGGGGCTGCCACCTCTGTGGATGCCTTCCATACACGCAGGGGGTGCCTATCTAGTGCCTGTGAACCATGGAAATGAGATCTGGGTGTAGTTGTCAGTTCCAGAGAGCTCCTACTCCATGTCCCAGTTTCAACACACACTCACTGCAGTCAAACAGGCAATCCCTGTGCTCCTAGTTCCTTCTCTCCATTCCAATTTTTTGTTTCTCCTCCATTTAAGAGCGCACAGATGTAACAAACAAAAATTTTTCTGAGGCCTTTAGTCTCTATCACAAAATAGCACAGTGCTTGACATTTCTAGAATTGAGCAGAAAGAGAACACAATGGCACCGAGGGAACTCACCACATAGTGTGGAAGGTAAAAACATGCACAACAACATAAGAAGCAATTTACTCAGTCTATTATATGTATCAGGCACTGTTGGAACCTCCCTCCCACACAATCCTTTAAGGAAACTTACTATGACTAAAGTATACATGGTAAACTTTAAGCCTGTAGTCTTACTCAGAATTCAAAATAGAATATAGCTTGTACCAAAAGAAACACAGAGACCAGTCATCTCTAGTCTTGGCCATGGCAGGAGATTGATTGGAGGAAGGAGAAGACATGTTGAGTTGCACCTTCAAGTAGCTCGGGACATATTAGTCCACGCAGCATTAGTAGAAACATCAAGATATAAATAATAAAAGCTCAGTGTGGCTGTCATAAGCAAAGGTGGAAGTCAAGCTTCTTTCTAAAAGTAGTGATAGTCTAGAGAACAACTTTGGGAAGATAATTCCAGTAGGAAATCCAAAGAGAGATACCTTGATCTCATGATGTTCTCATTCCTTAAGGCATATCCTCTGCTTTCAGATGTTCTCCAGTTGTTAAGCCAATGCACAATCAGGTTTCTAGGTAGCTCTTTCTATTCATATCCTGTATCTCATTTCCTTTACCACACCCTCTCCCAGCCCACTGGCAACTGTGTACAGACTAGCACTCACCATCCTACAGTCCAGCTCTGTGTTCTGGGGCCCTGGAATGCTCATCCAGCCCTTGAAGTGTTCAGAAGCATCATGTAGGAGTTCCTGGATACTCTCCTCCATGTAGAGGCTCAGGCTCATTCCAGCAGCATGTGCCTGCCTCAATTCAGCCAGGGATAGCCCTGGAGGATGAAGCTCAGCTGCACTATAGGAGTCACAAAGTTACAGCACCACATCCTGGGGAACCTGGGAGAGAATACACAGGGCTGAGGCCACTCTGGGAAGTCACAGATCCTCAGCTCTAGAACCCACATACTCTGTCAGGTTCATGTTGAGAGACATTGCTACTGCAGAGAGGTTCATGAGAAACCACTCAAGGAAACAGTTGAAAATAGGAGTCTGAGGGGTATGTGCCAAGCTACATCATATTCCTGACTTGAAATGCAAAATTCAGATCCGATGGATCCTTGGAGTCTCGAAAGGAGGCTTTGTGTCCTGGAGTCACTCACCTGGAAAAGTTTTTTTGCAGTCACTGATCATGTGTGATAAACCCTAAGTAGCAGCCATGTTCTCACTCATATCCCTGGGATCTGGATGGCCAACCAGGCTTCATTTGTTCTTGATCCTAGAGGGAAGATCCCAGAGGAGACGATGGCACAAGTGCACAAGTGCACAAGACGATTGATAGGCAAGCTTTCAGCTCCTCAGAAACCAGCTTAGCAGTAATGACCACAAAAGGATCTAGTGCCCCTTGGAAGGCACAGCTTCCAGCTGCCCCTGAGTAGCCTAGCTGACCCTTTGTGGTCATGTATAATAATTGAAGTGCCAGCCATGGAAAGCCTATAGTATGTTGGGGACCAAACCTTCCCTTCCTGCCTGGACCTACTAGGCCCTGCTGTGCTTCACGTGGCTGAGGAGCTATCCTTTTTTGAAACACTGAGGTGGAATATGGATGGTGCCAGGCACACTGCTAGGTTTCTAGCTGTCATCTGCAGACGCAATGTCACTTAGGAAAGAGAGCAAGGTCTGTAGCACCTCTCGGTTCTCCTCAGAGAGCATCAAGGTAGCAGCTTGCACTGCTGCCAACCGTTGATCCTTGGGAAAGACTGTTAGGAAGAAACAGCAAAAGTACTTCCTTATTCTCCCTAGATCTTATAATGTTCTTCTGCTACCATAAGTGTGTGAGCATATTAGACCTAGCCCTGCTAATGTACAGTAAAACCTTAAGGAAGTCTCTGCCTTTCCTCAGGGCTTCAAGTCTATCTTTCCACATAATAGCTTTGGGGAAATTAGCAAACTATCTCTCTCCAGTGGTCTTTCCAATTCCACTAGGTAAATGGTCCAATAAGCTCACAGGTATGCCTGAACCACGTTCATAAGCCTCAGAATTCAGGGAGGTTGAGAATGGAAGCAGGTTGTTGGGGACAGGTGCAGAAACTCACACTGATAGATCTACAGGAAAGTGGTGGTGAGCTTGCTGGTGAAAATAGACTCAGGCTGGTCCCGGAAATACTGCTTTAGTAGGTCAGTCACATCATAGACTGACTGACCCTCATAGCAGACATGGTCAGGGCAGGTCTCATTCATTTGGCATAAGTTCTGGATCCTCAACTTCACCCCAGACTTTAAGAAAATGCCCACCTGGCACATGCAAGGAAGGGAGACTGTTGAGATAAGAGTACAGAGTGAAGACTGTCCTTTGATACACCCAAGATGGTCAGGCTTCCTGCTCCCACTGGGTATGAGAGGAAAGAAATGGAAAAAAGAAAAAGAAAGAGTGTTATAACTTTGGACCATGACAAAAGTTAACTTCTGTGGAGATGCATAGGAAAAGGTGAACTTAGGCAAAAGTTAGATGAGTACTACAGAGTTTTGATTGATATGGCATGAAGCTGGGCAGAAGGAAACATTGGGTCCATGCTTGCTGGACCTTCCTGGGGACAGATATTTCTGGTGGCATCCAGAAACAGGAGAAGGAAGAGAGCAGAAAAGCCCTGCCCCCCAATGTCATTTCCTTTGTCCTTAGAAGGGCTCACCTGGTCAAGGCACTGGCTACGCAAATAATGCATGGCTTGTTGAATGCTCTGAGGCAAAGGTTGGCCTGTGCGCTGCACATGGATCAGTGGTGGAACCCCAAACACATGTAGACCACTGTAGTCTGGGGTCTTGTGCCTCTTCAAGAACTTGGGCACTGTATGGGGTAATAAAAAAGTAAGATAGATACGGGCTTGGTTTAGGGATTGTTGGATACTGTTCTCAGTTGTGGGGTGGCTCATGCAAGAGTGAATAAAAATAGAAATGTACAATATCCTCTAACTCAACATTCATTGAGCACCTGCTCTGGTCTTATCTGTAGGGACACAGAGTAATACAGGGAGTTCTCCATCTAGTCAAGGAGATTATGGTGACAATATATGGGGGCAGCAGTATAAGTGGGTCAAGAAATTAGGAGAAGATCCATGAGGAAGAGCAAGCTTCAGAGAGGAGATAGAAACTCAGCAGGCTCTTGGGGAGTGCACAGTTGTAGGACCAGAAAAACTATGAAGAGAAATGGTTAAAGGCATTTCAAGAAGAAAAATGCGAAGGGCAAAGACAAAGAGAAGAATAAAAGATCGTGGCATATTCAGCAAAGAGCTTATAAGCTAGCAAAAGCCTATAAAGTAATATTGCATGGGTATGCAAGCTAAAAGACCTTACAAATAGACCAGGGACAGAACAAAAAAGGGTCATGGTTGGAAGGAATCTAAACATTTGGTAATGAGGAGTCAGTCACAGACAGTTGTTTATCAGGAGAATGACAACCAAAATTCCATTTTGCATCTGGGATAAAGGAGGTACAGCTAGAAGACCTAAGGTCTCCTCTTGTGTCTCTTCAGATACAGGGTACACATGCTCATCTGGATCTCATGTGCACCCCAACACACAGATATCCAGAACCATGCCAATCTTTTGGGCCACAGCCACTCTAGTCTACAGTCATGACATGCCATTCTGCTGTTCTACAGGCTCTATCTACTTGTACCTACCTTCTGGGGCTGAGCCTCCCAGGACCCTGAGTGGGAACAGGTAGTGAGCCAGAAACTGAGTGAACATAAAAAAAAGAGGGCTGGAGAGAGAGCACAGCAGGTAGGGCTTTTGCCTTTCACGTGGCTGACCCGGGTTTGATTCCCAGAATCCTATATGGTCCCCTGAGCACCGCCAGGAGTAACTCCTGAGTGCAGAGCCAGGAGTAGCCCCTGTGCATCGCTGGGTGTGACCCAAAAAAAGAAAATAAATAAAAAATTATTAAAAAAAGAAAAAAGAAAAAAACTGAGTGAACAGCTCCCAAAACACATTTGTTTAGGAGCACTCACCAGACCCAGTCCTGTTTGTGAGGAACTGTGTATTTCTCCATGAAAGCAGCGAGCCGTACCAGAGAGCCCTTGTGCAGGAGGTGGATCTGTCCTGCAAACTGCCGGTTAATCTCTAGAGACTCCAAGTTGAGGCTGGGATGATGAGTTTGGAAACTATGCCAATGGAACTTCCTAGGGAAGAGCAAGGAATGTGTAGATGGCCAAGCAATCAAGTTTGGGTAAAGTTTAATAAAGGTTGTGTGGGGTACTAGAAATAGTACATGGGTGAAGGTATTTGCTTTGCACATGGCAGACCTTGGTTTGAATAACAGCACCACATGGCTCCCCATACATCACCAGGAGTGACCTTTGGCCACCGAGCAAGGTTTAAGCACTGAGTACTACTGGATATGACCCAAAATCCAAGGAAAGAAAGAAAGGAAGGAAGCAGGAAGGAAGGAAGGAAGGAAGGAAGGAAAGAAAGAAAGAAAGAAAGAAAGAAAGAAAGAAAGAAAGAAAGAAAGAGGACGGAAGGAAGGAAGGAAGGAAGGAAGGAAGGAAGGAAGGAAGGAAGGAAGGAAGGAAGGAAGGGGATAGAGGATAGGGGGAAATGTTGTGTTTTGTTTTTTTCCCTCCCAAAGGAGAAAAAATATGCAGGGAAGGAGGCTCACTCTCACTACTGCTACTGGGCTCTGAAAGGAAAAGCTGTTATTAAGCAGAACCAGCCATTATCCATTCTAAAACTGCTATAGAAAGGCTGGTCTGAATGTAAAAGTAAGGATTAGAGACCATGTACTCTAGCAATCTTGATTTACACGTGGGGAAACACGGGCCCAAAGAAAAGCTACAATTTATTCAAGGCCATAGTAGAGGCAGATGCAGATCCAAATCTTTATACTTTCCATATCTAGACTGGAACTGGATGCTTGGCAGCCATCACTCAAGAAGCTGCCCCCAATCCTCATGATTAGAAATTGACTTGACCCAGGAAGATGGGAAGAAAGGAGAGAGTGGTAGGAAGAGAAGAAAAAGAGACAACAAAGTTACCTGCTCTGCCCACACCCATATCTGCAGAATCTGGTAAGTGAAGGCACAATGCCTGAATCTCGCCATTCATGAGGTACTGATGCCTGAATGCCAGCCAGGGACCCTGTAGCCTCAGCCTCATTAATGGAATTTCTACTACTGTTCAGTTCACTTGAGGAAGCCACAGTTATCAGAAATGGAATGTCCCTCTTCCATAGATAGGGTGGAGGCAGAAGTAGGTTCCCCACATGAAATCACCTCCTGCTCTTTATCCTGGTCTGGTCAGCATATCCAGGCTCTGTCTGTGCTTGAAATTCAGCTTCATCTGAGGATTGATCCAGGACTACTGCTTTCACAATGTTCTGATCCAGAACAAAGGATTCTCTGTGATCCAGAGCCCCCACCTGGACCACAGTCTCATCTAGGCCTTCAATTTCAACTGTGATAATTTTTGTTGATGAAGTAGCTTCCTCTTCTTCCTCATATTTTTCTTCCTTATCTCCAGACCCCAGATCTGGACACATGGCCTGAGACCAAAGCTGTACATATTGCTGAAGCCCCCATACATGCTGGAGAATGTCATCTAAGTGAGTGTAGCTGACCACAGTCTCTTCATGTTCACCTTCATTCCCCAACAGTGCAGGTTTGGCAGTATATAGCTCAGGTAAGTTGTCATAGATGCTAGTATGGCTACCTATGGAGTCACAGGAGCCTTGGCATCTTTCATAGCCACAGTGCTTGCCTGGCTGCCAATGTCTTAGGTAGGGTCTCTCCTCAGGACATATACTCTCAATGGAGAGAGAGAGAAGGAATGTGCCTGGTTTATGGTCCCTGGGTACCTGCACTAGACAGCCACTCTGGTTTGCCTGCTGAGAATGCTGGAATGTAGCCACAGACCAGGTGCCCCAGACTTTCCTAGTCTCAGGGCCATTGCACCTGTTGAAGTGGCTGCCCAGTTCTTGGCCTTATAAAACCCAGATAAGAGGAAGCCATGGCAATTAGGGAAAGAAGAGGATTTGGTTGCCTTTTTCAAGGTAGCTGGGCTACACTTGGATTCTTCTTGTCGACTGCCACCCTTTTCATTTTGCCCTAGAGATTCAAGGTGCTTAAGGAAGCTATGGGAACGGTGCTTCTTGGCTTTGTTCTGGAAGCTATCTTGGCCATGGGTTTGGTCACTGGGACTGGAGACATGATCTATCAAGATTAGGTCTGTGGGTTGGGGTGCAGGTTGGCTCACAGTGACAGCTGACAAGGAGGTCACACTAAGATCAGTGAAGACAGAGCTGGAGGTCACTGGCAAAGCAGGACTCGGTGGGGCCAGCATGTTAGAGAAGTCCACATAAGACCAGTGCTTACGTCCTCTCTGGGAGACCCGGTGGTTGCTGATGACACAATGCTCTTCCTCTTCTGGGTCTTCATTCTAGAGAGGAGGTCATAGGATCAGGCTAAAGAAGTCCAAACAAGAATCCCTTATTTATGTAGAGCATTGCCTGCAAATCCTTGCAGGTGCTTGAGGTGAAGGGACCCACTTTCAGTTTGAGAATATATCCTATATCAAGGAGCTGGCTCTAGAAGTGCCAGAGAAAGCCAGGAGTCATACATGGAGCACAGATGAATGGTAGTTCTTCTGATTAATATTTCACTGTCTGTTGAAAAATGAGATGCACAAAAGAGAAATGTTTTAACCAAGGCTTCACTAAGTTGGGGCTGGGGAGATAATTCAGTGGGTAGCACTTGCCTTTCATGTGCCCAACCTGGGTTAGATTGCTAGCATCCCATAAAGTCTCTTGAGAACTGGCAGGATTAATTCCTGAGTACATATCCAGGATTAACCACTGATCATCAGCTGGTGTGACCAAAAACTAAAAAGGCTTGTGATGGTAAGTCAGTGACAAAGCCTGAACTGAGGGCTCTTGACTTCCTTTCCTCAGTAGGAAGTCTCTCCTAGGCTTCTGAGATACAATTTTAGATCAGAATCATATAATGCCAGAACTAGCAGAGATTTGATGTTTTTGAATTTATCTCTTATCAATTTGTAAAAACTTAGGCCTAGACGAAAGAAGAAACTAGCCTAAAGTCACTCAGTAGTCAGTGGAAGTGCTGAGACCACATCCCAGAGGTCTCATTTATAGTCCAGGGCACTTGGCTGACTATTAAGACTTAAGGCCTCTGGTGGAGAAAGTCTAAGTGAAATGTACAAAGCCTGATTCCAAGGAAGAATGGAATCATTGGCTCATATGTCTAGGGTTATGTGAAGACCTCTATTTATCTTGCTTTCTGCAATCCAGGATTGGTAAGCTTTGGAAATTGGTGGTGGCACTCCCAATTCATTGTAGAAAATTAAGGTCACAGGATAGGATCTTGTAGGAATGAAGTTTGGGATACTGAATGTCATATCATACATGTCATAATATTTTTCAGTCTCTCCCCCTAAGATTAAAACTTTTGCTGCCACAGATAAAGTAGTGAAAGTAGATAGCTTTCCTTGATGAAGGTCCATCACTGTGTCAAGTTATTAGTAGATACAGAGAGAAGATGGAGACCAGAAGGATAGTACAATGGGTAAGGTGTTTGCCTGGTACATGGGCAACCAAGGTTCAATCCCCAATAGTCCATGTGGTCCTCTAGGCACCACCAGGAGTGATCCTTGAGAATAGAGTCAGGAGTAGATCTATAGAACCACTTGATGTACCACCCCCTCCACCCCCAAAAAAACAGAAGCAAGATTATCTGAGAGGAATTGATGATACCCTGTGCCAATGTATTTGTTCTCAAATTTCAGCCTCACAGAGCCTCATATGTAGCACTTACAAGCTGGAGAGAGGCACTGCTAAAGAAACCCCCATCTTCCAGGTATTAGAGCAATTTTCACAAATGGTTTGTATATGTTCCGGGTCCAGTGTGGTTCACAGACCATGGGCCACATCTTTGCTGTAGCTTACCTGCTTGCATTGAAAATGAACTTCCAGCTTCATTGAAGCACAATTTTTGAGGTCATCAGTCTGCTACAAGGAAATAAATCAGTGTTCACCAAGGGTTCAATCCCTAGAGTCTTGGGTAACCTACCAAGACATCTCCAAGATTCTGCCCTCCTACTTTACATGTACCTATTTACAAAAATGTCTCCAGGTTCAAAGTATCTAAAGGTTTTAGGACAAATTCATGTTGATAAGATTATGGTTCTTGCTCCAGAAACTTATTAATGTGTAAACAAATCACTATAGAGTTGTGACAGGTTAAAGAACAGAATACACAAACAAGACACACAGGGCAAGTAACTTCCATGAATAAAATGGTGTACAATTAGAAAAGGCTTCCTGGAGGACATAAATGGGATTTGGATTGAGAGAAAAGGGAACTAATAGAAGTCTGTTTCAAGGTAGAGGGTCTATAAACAGACCAGTGAAGGTATGAGAGGGGAATTGAGGCTGATAAAGGTGGTTCAAAGCCAGATTATAAGAGGATTCAGGTGTCATGCCAAGAAAACTTTGGATTTTCCCCTGAAGGTAGTGACACTACTGAAGCAAAGATGCACCCACTGAGAGGCTGACTCTAGTGACTATGGAAAGGTTGGAGAAAATGAAGAGGAGAATGCAGAGAATGAAGGCAGGAAATACAGTTTGGAGGCTACTGCAATGGCTCAAAGAAAAGTAATGGTTTGGCCTCAAACAAGCACTGAATTTATGTAAGTAGAGAAGGAACAAATCAAAGGAGGAAAGTTTAGGGGATCTAGCTGAAGAGAAAACAGCATCAACAACAGACCCTGGCTTTCCAGAGTATCTGAGTGGGTAACACTGTCGCAAACACAAAAATCAGATGAGCAGTGTGACCATAGCAGAAGAGCTTTGTTAATAGGTTGGGCTCATCCTCTTTTTGAAGAGATCAAGAAATTGTTTTTAATATGACCGAGGTCCAAGCTGGCCCTTGCTTTTCCAAGCCTCACGCTCTGTCTCCTTACCTGCACAGGGACCCCGAAAGAGTCCTCGTCCAGAAAACAGTGTTCTTTCTTCACAGAGCCAATATCAAGGGGGAAGTTAACCTTCTGTATGCCAGAGGAAATCCCAAGATTAATAGTCAAGACCAGTAGGTGACAAACTCAACAATAATGTCTCCTGAGATGGAAGAGAAGAAGGAAGGTTAGAGCTGGCAGAAGGAGAAAGCCTGATAAAGGATGGTGCCAGGTAGTCTGGGGTTGGCCTTCAGGAAAAAGGTACAGGAGAGATCAGAAAGACTGAGCTGAGTAAGAGGACACATCAGTCAGTGAGGCAGGTCCATGGTAGTGATGGTAAAAACTGAGTGGCTGCGAATCACAAATGTAGGCTGACAGGCCCCACAAAATCCTGGTACTCTCATACAGGGAGCCTCCTCCTCAGGCTTAGGGAGCAGAGAGAGAATGGACAGAGTACAGTCAAAAGAACACCTCATGTTCCTCTATTGTTCAGAGCAGGGGAGTCCATTCCTTGGGGGCTCAGAGCAGTGCATTCCTTGGGGTGGGGAAGAGGAAGGATCAGTATGGAAAAGTATGTGGGGCATGCCTCTGCTGATAAAACAAGCCCAGTTACTGATTTAATTAATATTAATTGAGCACCTACTTTGTTGCACTGAGTATACAACTGTGAACAAGACAGAAATGATGTCTGTCTTCTTGTAATTTATTCTCTCATGGGGGAAGAAGACAATAAACAACATGTGAGACAAACAGGATATTGCAGTTACAGATGCTATGGAAAATATTAACCAGAATTATGGGATAAAAAGAAGTTGGCATGGGGGCTACTTGTAGAGTGTGTGTTTTCAAAAGTCTGGCCGGCGTTCTATCTCTCCCGCTGCCCATGTTCAGTAGTCTCGAGCTGTTTCCCCCACCCCGGAGAGGTCGATGGTGATGGGCAGGTGAAGGAACGAACGAGGGCCAGGCTGGTCAGATCAATTGCAGTTTATTCCAATCTTCACTCTCACCTCTGACTCTGCCCTCTGGAGCCCGAGCTCCCGAGCCCAAGCCCAAGCCCACGCCTCAGCCTGAGTCTCTTCCTGAGTCTCAGTCTCTGCTCTCTTGAGCCCAAGCCCGAGCCCAAGCCCAAGCTTGAGCCTGAGTATGAACTTCAGTCTCCTCCTCAGTCTGAGCCTTCTTCCTTCTCTCTCTGGAGCCCAAGCCCCCTTTGAGCTTACAGTCTTAGTTTCTATAGCAATGATGTAGGGTGGTGACACAAAGGTGGGTTGAACATTAACAAATCAGCAAAGAGAGATAAGACCACTCCTCAGTCAGACAGTCAGGGATAGAGGCTGGAAGGAGAATGATGGTGTTCCAGAAGCTGAAAGGAGTCAACTCTACAAAATGTTGTTCAGAGACTGAGTACGTACTGTGAGGTGACCACTGAAACTGTTCATATTAAAGTAACTAGTGAGTTAGACAAAAACTATTTTGTTGGGTAAATGGGGTGAAATTAGAGTGTAGTGGGGATGTGGGAGGAAAAAGTGGAGTGTAAACAGTAAATATGAACAACTAAAGAAAAACAGAAAAATAAATGAGAACAGAGAAATTAGGCCATATTAGGACAGGAGATGGTTAGGACAGGGCCACCACAGTTCACCCTCCACAAAGAATCTATGTAAAGGTCTCAAACATGGTTTGAAGAAGTGGTCTTGGCTAAGACATGCACTTTAACATGCACTTTAGCACCAGAGCTTGTGAAAGTTGCTCAGTTTGATTCAACAGAGATAATCATAGGGGAGAAAGAATTTATAACGATATGAGTTAAGTCCCTGAAAATATTTTGGAAGAGCCTGAGTAATAGCTGGAGTATGGTCAAAGGAACAATTACTTATGCCTCATTTTAATGGTGAAAAACAGGGGTGATGAATCAGAAGGATAGATACAGATATAGAATGACTGCATTCATTTGTGGTATATAAAATATATAATAGAAGACAAATATCCATGGCCAGGGAAAACAGGGGTTAGGAGGACTTGTCAATTCTTGGATCTAACCACAAGTGTGTGTGGAGCTGAGGGTAGGTTAGATAGAGAAGAGACAATAATAGCTGGGAATGTATGACAACACTAGCTGGTAATGATCATGCTTGGGAATGATCATGATAGAAAAAAAACTGAGTGTTAAAAGAAGGTAAAGGGATATTCGTTTTTAAAAAAAATTAATTAATGAAAGACCGTGGGGTACAGTTGTAGACCTACAAATTTTTGTGCTTGGGTTTCAATTATACAATGATCAAGTACCCATCCCTCCACCAGTGCCCATTATCCACTACCAATGATCCCAGGATCCCTTCCCCCCACCCCATCCTCCCCATCCCACCCTGCGTCTGTGACAGGGCATTCCCTTTTGTTCTCTCTCTCCTTTTGGGTGCTGTGGTTTGCAAAAGAGGCATTGAGTGGCATTCATGTTTGGTCTATAGTCTACTTTCAGCATGCATCTCCCATCCTGGGAGGATCCTCCCAACACCCTTTATTTGGTGCTCCTTTCTCTATCTGAGCTGCCTTTTCCCCTAGCATGTGCAGCTGGCCTCCAAGCCATGGAGTAAACCTCCTGGTATTTTTCTCGGCTATTGTTCGGTTTCAGTCTCTTATTTTGTTACTTTATGTTCCCCAGATGAATGCAATCTTTCTATGTTTGCCCCTCTCTTTCTTACTCATTTATCTTAACATGATACTTTTCATTTAGTACCACTTGTATGTAAAGGTACATTCTTGATAATTCATTTGAGTATCAATATTGCAAACCACACTGGTGCTGGAAAATGTACACTGGTGGAGGTATACTGTATGACTGAAATCCAATCATGAATACCTTTGTAAGGGTCTCTCTCACAGTCATTCAATAAAAGTTTTAAAAAAAGAAAAACTGAGGGGGTAGGCAAGTTTTGGGGTGGGGAGAGCCTTACCTTCAAAAAGCTGAGCATACTTAGTGAATCCTGTTACTTAGAGTCACTTGTATTCTTTTTAGGCCTCAAATTCTGAAACAGATCAAGGGGAGAGAAGCTCAGGGAAATGGAAAATCGTATCATGGTATTGACACCAAGGCATCCTGAATACATAATGCCTGAGTTTCCAGCAGGCAGACATCTCCAGTCTTGCAATTCAGAAATGGTGAGAGAAACACAGAGAGACTAAGACATTTACTGAATATAGCAACCAGCTAATAATCACCCTTTCCTAAGTTCTTCTTGGTAATTGTTTTAGGACACATTTCTTGACCTGCATTCCCCACCAGCCCCACACCCAATGTCCTGCCCCTGCTCAAGAACAGACTCCAGAAGCAGCAGCAAATTCAAAGAATATCTAGCCTGTTATAGGGAGCCAAACTTTCCGTGGCCCATGGAGACCATCCTAGATTTCCAGGGATATGAAATATTCTATTATTATTCTCCTTCTCACCATGATATCTGGCATGGAGATAACCAAATATCATTTAACATATGCAATACTACATTGATGTATCTCAAACCACACCTAGAAATGAAGTGCTTATAGACAGTGTCCTAATTGATAAGATAAAAGTTGTTACTCCAGGACTGGTAAGGAGACAAAGTTCAAATTGTCTGACTCCAGCCGAGGATTCATTTCAATACAGCACGTTTCTAACATGGCAACTTTCCCAGTAGTCTTCTCCATTAACAAACATGCCATCCCTTCTTCCCCAAAGAGACTGCAAAGCCTGTATTAGCCCACTCCCATGGCTAAGATAATTTGTGGCTTAGCCCAAATAGGTGCTGCTGCCATGCTGTCATTGTGGGGGCAATGTCATGATTTTTTACTCTGCTCTGGAATGTCCAGAAAAAGGTAGGGCATCCCTGCCAGTCTCAGTGGATTTGCAGAGGTGGACTGAAGTCACAGAAGAATTCCTTCTTGGCTAGGTAGTCCAAGAGCAAAATCATGGAAATTCCCTAGAACGACCCATGGTGCCAAGGAGTAGTAGGGTTGAGTCATGCAAACTGGCATTGAGGGGTTAGGTGAGGATTTTTGACCCAGCAAAGCTGTTTTTTGTTAGTGAAGTCTTGCTCCAGCACTTCCTACATTTCCTTTTGTTGTTGTTTTTATTTTTGCTACACATCCAGGGGTGCTCAGGTATCAGTCCTGATGGGGCTTAGGGGACCATAAATGGTGCCTGGGATTGAACACTGGTCAGCCTCATGCAAGACAACGGCCCTGCCCACTGTACTTCTCTCTGGATCCTTCTTCCATTTCCTTAGAACCTCTGAGCAAGAGAGTCCAAAATGTCTGGTAAGGTTTACCCAAGATAGGAAGATTTCACAGTTTCAGTATTCTCCCCCAAGGAAATATAAGATGAGATCCTGGAAGATGGGCCAGATAAGGTAAAAGGTAAAGGTAAAGGCCTCCCATTGTTCGTCGATTTGCTCGAGCGGGCCCAGTAACGTCTCCATTGGAGACTTTGTTGTTACTGTGTCTGGCATATCGAATACTCTCGGTAGCTTGCCGGGCTCTCCGGGAAGATAGGAAGAGTTCACAGTTTCAGTATTCTCCCCCAAGGAAATATAAGATGAGATCCTGGAAGATGGGCCAGATAAGTTAAAATAAAAATTTATGTTTTAGAAATGCCAGACATGTGGATGAAGAAGGAAAAAATTGGAAAGGTGAAAAGTTATCAGAAAAAATAATAGGCTACTTAAGGTGGATGAGAAATGAAGAAGATGAGAAGGGTCTCAACCCCTGGGGCTCCCTGGGAAAATAAGTACTGGACAGAGACGAATACCTGGGCATTTCTTCAACTACATGTGTCATGCCAAATCCTGCCCAAGCATCTGTCTCTTCATATGGTTATAGTTAATTTTGCCCATTGTCATGATCCATGTGGATTATTGTGGGACTCTGTGCCTGTGTATAATATTCACATGCCCTTTCATCTATGTATGAATCTGTGTATGCTTGTGTGTATTTTACATTACTGAAACTTTCTAACCTATATTAGAAATATATGACTGACTTTGTATCTTTGATCCTCTGACAAGGTATAGTTCAGATCTGGCAATTCAGTTAAATGAGGGACATGGTTTTATTGCTAGGAAAATTGATCTGACTGCTAAACATTTGGGAAGTCTTTCTTCATCTTTACTGCCTCTACCTTCCTTTCACTGGAAAGCCAAATTGCCAAAGGGAAAATGCTAATGGAAAGTATTTTTCAGGAAGTCTGACGAAAAAACTAAAGGTTCACAAATGTGGTATGGCAACCCTTAAATGTACAGCAAATCCCAATAGACCTGTGTGCTTAGGATATACCCTTGAAATTTAACTGCAGCTGTAGTCTTTTGTGGCTAGAAGGAAAATGGAGAGAGGGATTAAAGAGAGCATCTCACTGATCATTGCTCTCATGTTCCTTCCTAAACTGAAAGTGGGATAGCACAGTAATGATGTTCTTGGTATCACATATCCAGTAAACCTGCTGAAGTCATGGAGGCCACAAGAGAGAGGTGGGTTGTCTGCTTCTCTAATGCTGGACAGTGACCCTACCTGCTTACCAGATAGACATTCAATTCTTGCATTTCAACCTGGAACCCTCTAGCACCTTGTTCTTCAAAGAGTGCTCTTGGACCAGTCAGCATTATCTGGAAGCTACCTAGAAATTCGGAGCTCCACTGAGTAAGAATCTACCTATATCTAGATCCTCAAATGATTTAAAAGTTTGAGAAGTAGCCTAAATGACCTAGCTTGCATTGATTCATATTAATATCAGTTTGTTATTAAGTTTATTTAAAAAACCTATTCCCAGGATGGGAGATAGTACACGTGTTAAGGCAATTACCATGCATGTAACTGACTCTGGTTTGTTCCAGGATACCACATACTTTCCCAAGCACCTCCAGGTGTTGTTTTGGAGGCCCCTCAGCATGACTAGGTGTGATCCTAGAGATCTCTGAGTAGTGCTAGAGTGGTCTAGGTTATCCCAGCACCACAGAGTCTAAGTAGCACCACATCCTTGGGCTTCTTCTTCATTGAACCACCAGCCCGGTTGGCAAAGAATCACAAAGACTAATCTAATCCCTGGTTCCCCTAAACACGGATTGACAGGCCCATTACCACCAAAAATTAATAAACTGATTCCCTTGAATTCCCTCAATGCTAATTTGATATAGATCTGTGGGGAAAAATTCCAAATTTATTTTTCTTCGGGTTTTTTGGTTTGGGCACTATGCCTGGCAATGCTCAGGGATTACTCCTGATTCTGTGCTCAGGGATTATTCCTGGCAGAACTGGCATCACCATGGTGCAGGAAACCAAACCTGGTTTGGTTATATGCAAGAGAAGCAACCTACCTTCTGTGATATCACACAAGCTACGAATGTATATATATTAAATGTATGTGTGTATATATATATGTATATACATATATATATCACTGTATCACTGTATTACTGTATCACTGTCACCCCATTGCTTGTGAATTTACTCAAGTGGGTGCCAGTAACATCTCTATTCCTCCCAGTCCCAAGATTTTAGCAGTCTCTCCTTACTCGTCTTTCCCAACAATTGGAGGCTTATTCAGGGTCAGGGGAATGAGACCTGTTATTGTTACTGTTTCTGGCATATCAAATACACCACGGGGAGCTTGCCCAGCTCTGCCCATGTGGGCGGGATACTCTTGGTAGCTTGCCGGGCTCTCTGATATATATCACTTAATCACTTAATCCCCGTTATTCATCGATTTATTCGAGCGGGTGCCAGTAACGTCTCCATTCATCCCGGTTGCGTGCTAGCGTAGCCCAATGGTATCTGTTCGTTTTAGGAACATGTAGAGCCTCAAACCGATCATTTAGGGTCTTGACGAAGAAGTCTGACCATCTTATAGGTGGGCGTCCACGTGATCTTTTGATGTCCCGTGGAATCCAATCAGTAATGGCTCTAGTCCAGCGGTTGTCTGTAAACCTCATTACGTGTCCAGCCCATCTGATTTTTGATGTCTTGGCAAATGAGAAATGGGCAAACTATCGCCCAATCTGCCTATTGTCTGTCATCTACAAACTATTCACTCGAGTCATCCTGAATAGGATTAGCAGAACACTAGATGAAGGACAACCATGTGAACAAGCTGGATTCCGAAAAGGATTCAGTACCATCGACCATATCCACACAATAACCAAGCTCATTGAGGTATCTCGGGAGTTCAAGATGCCGCTCTGTCTAACGTTCATTGATTTAAAGAAGGCCTTTGATTCTGTTGAGACGGAAGCGGTCATGGAAGCCCTAGCCAATCAGGGCGTACAAACTCAATACATCAGGATCCTTCGTGAGCTCTATTGCGGATTCACTACCAAGATCTCACCTCATATATATATCATATATATATATGTTGTTGTTGTTATTGCCTAATGTCTGAACCCCATAAAATATGGTGTGGTAATTATGGAAAATGGGTAAGAAGTGTTTTATGATGTGTCAGTGGCCGCGTGGTCCAGAATGTGGCCTGGAGTGTGGAGGTGGTTGGGTAGTGGAGGTTGGCTGCCAGGGTTGGGTCCCTTGGGGAGGGGAGGGCTCTCACTTGCCCCACTTTGGGAAGCCCTGAGTGAAAACAGCCGGTGTGGAGTCCGGTGGCATGGTTATGGGAGCCTCATACATTATTGATAATAAGCCAGCAAAATGAACTATGACAAAGTTGTTGAAACCTAAGGTGGTCAGATGTTACCATATTTTGGTCAAGGTTAGTTCTGAGTTAGGGAGGTAATATCTTATCAGACATGGGGATAGGCTGCCTTAGTGACACACTTCTTTGTTTCTGATGTCAAACAGTTAATCATATGATCTTGCATTTTCCTGCCTCCTCTGCTTTGATAATCCTATTTCTTTTGTTACCTGCAAAAAGATCTGACTGCAAAATGCTCTGGTAATGCAAATTGCAATTCACTGGCTATGTATCCCTGTGCTCTAGCTTATACTCAGCCTACATGGTGGGCTGGAACGACAGCACAGTGGGTAGGGCATTTGCCTTGCATGTGACTGACCCTGCCGACCCA